GCAGAAGTTAATTTAATAAAATATCATGATTAATAAAATTATAACAGTTCTAATGTTCTAATGTAACAGTATGTTACAATCCTACAAAATTTTAATTTTTAAAACTATTTATAGATTTTTAAATTAAAAAATAGTTTTTTTAATAGAGAAATAATAATAATACTAATTCCTCATATAGCTTCCTATATGATATTATATTATAAATGTGTTAGATTGTTTTAGTGCCTGCAATTTAATAAAATATCTGAATTGGATGGCGTTGATTTCTGTTAGAATTAATGAATGCCTTTTGATAAAATAAAATTATTCTACTTTTGTAAACGATTTAGCAGTTAAAAACCAATCATGAGCTTAAAAATATTTAATTAAAATTTATATAATCGAAATATCTTCTGCGATCCTGTGAAAAAAAACTATTCGATGTTATTATGATTCATAACAAATATACACCGAAAAATAATTCTAACGAAGTCTATTTTTGTAAAAGAATATTGTTTGCAAGAATCATAATTAATGATCGGAAAGAGGTAAAACTTTTTTTGTAATGGAAAAGGAAACAGGAATGTATTATAACCTCGAAATGTATTGAAATACCTTTAAGCTCAAATCTCTATGCAGAGTATCCAATACATCTTTTAGCATTGACTGATTGACTGCGAGGTTAATTGATCACTTACAAATTAAACTAACTATTTTGGGAACATTTATTGAACTGGGTACATGGTTTAACATTGTGCAACGTTAAATGAAAATAATAATAATAATAATGAGGAAACATTTCAAAGTTACAAAAATTGTGTTTAGAATAATTGCAAAAGAAAACTTATTAACGTGTCTAATTTACTTTTACTTGTTTACTTGCATATGACCTCACTATTAGTTAATTTAAATAAAAACAAGTAATATAAAAAAAAAAGTCAATTCCTACTTTTTTTTTTACCAATATTGCAAAAGGTCATTTATAAATAATTTTCATTCATTTTTTTAAGTTTATCTGGCGCCATTTATTGGTAGATATGTGCAACTTAAATTTAAAAAAAACTAAAATTAATTAATTAATCAATATTTGGAAAAACTGTATTAACATCAAGTGTCATCCGCTATATATAGGAAGAGTGTGAGCTAATAGAAGGAATTGAAAAAGGTACAAATTTTTTGTGTATCTTAAATAAAAGATGTTAATTTATTAGAGGTGAAGTAGAAAAAAAACAGTTATTCAAATATTAAATTAATAATTTCATATACTGAAGCTAAAATACAGAGAATTAAAAACTAAATAAACAAATACATCAAAATAGTGAAAAAAAAAAAAACTTAAAAAAAAAAAAAAAAAATGCAATTACAAATAAATGTGTTTTTTAGCTTATATTATTTTTAAAATTGATTAAATAATGAATAAGATAATTATCATACTTACTTAAATATTCTTTTGAATTGTAACAATATCTGAATATAATTTTTGGCATGAAAATAAACTTTTATTTCCCTTTGAACGTCTATGAATTTCAAGAACAAAATAAATAATTAATGACCTTTATAAAATGGCCTTATATGATTGTAGTTAAACAATTACATTTATTATTTGATATCAAATGATGATTGTTGGGCATGTACATTTGAAATTGGAATAATTAAAAACTTCAGTTCCTCGATTGTTAGTAACTTTTTTCCATAAAATTGTCATTAATATTAACAAAGCCAAATAAAGTTTTTTCATATAACTGTAAAAGATTAATTGAACTTAAGAACGAAAGTTTTACCAAATACATCAATTGTTCAGATCAAAATTATATGCAAAAAAAAATGTATTTCCTTGAAGTTTGTTTTCGTTTTCATTTAATTATTTTGATGACTTTCGTCGCTATTGATAATCTTGTTTAATATTTAAAACTTTCAGATAAAATGATAAGTATACCATTGTAATCGCTATTTTTCTATGAAAAAAGCATTAAAGTGATAATGTTTAAAAAAATTAACATAATAATATGATTTTCTAAATCAATAATGGTTTAAGCAATACACTCAACTGAAAAGTAAGGGGTTTTAGTGAATTTCTAGAGGAACATATGACTCATTTAAGCTAAACCAATGTCTGAATGAACAGATTAACCTAAGAATTGTTTTAAGGAGGATGTTTGTTTCTTTTAATGTATATTTTGATTTGTATGTATATGGCGTCAAAGAATTTGTACCTAAAAGAATGAATAATAAATAATAATTGTAAAATTTCATTTAGCAATACTGATATTTAATATAATTCTTTTAAAAGAAAACAAATTTTCAAAAAGAAGAGGACTGCTAATTTCTACAATGAAATTATTTCATAAAAGAATGATATTAAAAAGAAAAAAAAGAATTTTAAAATTGGCGAGATCAACAAAGAAACAATCTATTTACAACAAGAAAGTAAAAAGAAATCAATCTTCTCAGCCCTGTCTTGTAAAAGATTTTAGAATAATTTTCTTCCTCTTTAATTTATTGGGAATTGAAACACAAATTTTAAACTGTTCTTATAGAATACACAATATTTGCATTGAAACGATTCACAATTCTGTTAACAAAAACAGAATTTTATTCATAAAATGTCTGAAATGCTTTGTTTATATAAGTCTTTGTGCAAAATTCTTGTTTCAACTACTGAGATTAATAATCGCACAATCCAAGATGGATGAATTAATTCAACATTCCTTAATATTTCTAATAATGTCACTTTATATATCAATTAAAAAAAGACATCTGCGAATGCTACAAATGACAGATAACATACATCAAATCTCTAAGAAATTAGAAAATCATGAATTCAAAAGGCGGAAAAGCATAATGTTTGTGTACTTTATTTTTACAATTTATCTATTTTATGGCACTTTTCTATTCATTTTCAGCGAAGTTAAAAATGAAAACGTAAAAAATATCTACTGTAAAGTAAGTTTAATAACATTAATTTTTGGAGAAAATAATTCGTACTGTTTTATTACTACTGAAATTATCGAGTGTCTGTTCTTCATTCTAGTGATAAGTGTTCTTTCTTTTTTTACGATTTATTATCACCTTACCTGTACATTTATCCACGATCTTTTTGAAAACCTTCTTCGAAAACTTACCAGTGACGTTCTGAATGAAGATCTGAAAGAACTATTCGCTATTTATGAAAGCATAGAAAAATCAGTGGAAAACTTGGATGAATATTTTTCCTTTCCCGTTTTTGTTTCATTGCTCTTAATTATGTTTGAATTATTTTGGGGTGGTTACAGATTAGCATTTTATCCATATATAAGTATCAAATATTTTTCCTGGTTAATCTGTTGTGTAATATTTTATTTATCACTTCAACTTTTATTAATGGTTTCAGCATCTGTCACAAATGAAAAAGCACACAACGTCAGACGCACTGTGTTGAATTTATGTTGCACACATGGAAAACAAATTAAAATAAAACTTCAAGGGTGTAATGAAGGCAGCAGTTTAACAATGTGGAAGATATATACTTTCGATAGGTCTCTCATAATATTTACTATATTGGCACATTATTAACATATGGAATTTTAATAGGAAATTTGGGTAGGTAAAATTATATACGTATCAACTACATAATTTTTTAGTATAGCATTATGTATCAACTAACTATATTATGATAAAAATACGCATGTAATAGATAAAAAAAAAAATTTCACCAAAAAACAAATTTAAGATGTTTTAATTAAACCTGATTGTGAAACAAATTAATAAAAATTTTAGTAATTTTTAAATCTTTCTTTGGTGAAAAAACATGTATACGAGTATTTGCAGCTATGCTTCTACTAGGCAGCCTACATGTCTGGTTTATAAATCCTGCGCTTGCACACACTGTCTTAATCGTTTTCGATTCCCCTCATTGCATGCTAAGCTGTAAATTTTTCGACTCTGAAAAGCGTATAACTTGCTTGCAGGTGGGACCAGGTTCAGTATGTTTTTGCCCTACATGTATAGAACTGTTGATGGCGTACTTTGAAAAACAAGTAACTGATGACGAACGCAACAGCGCATGTAAGCATCTCTCATCAACGATTAGTTATTTCTATAAGAATGTAATGTATGATAAAATAACTACGAATGCAATTTAGAATTTTTTCTTGATTCACTCGAATTATAGTGAAAAAATTCAGAACACTTCGAATTATAGTGAAAAAATATAAATCCTTAATCAGGTTTTGTGCATTAAATACTATCATATATATTTCATATACTAATTTAAGTAATAAATTAGCATATTAAATAAAAATAGTCATTTAATTTTTTTTATATTATTTATACACATATACATGTATGTGATTTGCCTTATTAATATGTGTAGACTTTTCATTCTATTCAATTCGAAATTAAAATATGTTCATAAAAAATAATCAAATCAATAGTTTTTTTCATTAAATTGTATTACTTGAAAGTATATTTAATATATAAACAGATTTAGAAAGTGACCTTAAATTTTTTTGAAATCGATTTTTTAAAAGATTATTATACACATCTCAACAATATCAGTTGCAATTGGATGAATAAAAATTTTTTTGGTTCTAATTCAAAAGTAATACCTCAAAAAATTAATACTTTAAGCAGCATATATTTTGTTAATGTAACAAATATGTTTTCTTTAAAAAGCAATTAGCTTCTATTAAATTATCTACTGATTCATTTTAAGACTTTTGAACTAAAAAAACTTTTTCAATCCCTATAAACAAGACATTTGTAGTATAGTAAAAAATACAAAGTGTGATGATTCATTTTTGAAAAGGAATATATATATTTTTTTTTGATTAAAATAGTACAATATCTGCAGGATTTCTTAAAAGAAGTATCATAATTAATAAAATTCTTTATAGTTTTGAAATATGTTGACCACCTACACAATTTAAAATTTAATGTTGAAAACTATTTTTACATTTTAAAAGTAAAACGTAGTTTTTTTAATAGAGAAATAAGAATAAAACTAATTCCTCATATAGCTTCCTATATGATATTAGCCAACTGCCGTACCATGCTGAATATACCGGTTCTCGTTAGATCACCGAAGTCAAGCATCATTGGGCGCGGTCAGTACTTGGGTGGGTGACCACCTGGGAACACTGCGTGCCGTTGGCAAATTTGGGACCTGAATGGCCGAGTGTCTAGCGCTCTGGCGCTCGGTGTCACAGGTTTCGGGTTCGAATCCCGGCGGTGCCATGGATGTTTGTAGTGGTTCGGAATCCACTTTAAGCCGTAGGTCCCGGTCTTCTTTGACTGTAAGAGCGTCACGGAGCAAAAGTCAGGCTTCTACCTACGGGGTGCTCCATCACAACAGAAGCTGTTTCCTTCCCCTTCAATCATGAGTCCATATGGGCTCGTGGGCTTGGCCAGCCAAGTGGGATAAGAAACAACAACAACAACATATGATATTAAATTATAAATGCGTTATGTTGTTTAGTGCCTGCAGCTTTCTAAAATATCTGAATTGGATATAGTTCATTTCTTTTAGAATTAATGAATGTCTTTTGATAAAATGAAATGACTCTACTTTTGAAAACGATTTAGCAGTTAAAAAACAAACATGGGCTTAAAAATATTTAATCAAAATTTATTATAACAGAAATATCTTTTGCGTTTCAATGAAAAAAAAACTATTCGATTTTATTATGATTCAGAACAAATATTCACCGAAAAAATCGTTTTAACGAAGTCTACTTTTGTCAAAGAATATCGTTTGCAAGAATCATAATTAATGATCGAAAAAATGTAAAATATTCTTTATGTAATGGAAAAGGATAAAAAAATATTTTATAACCTTGAATTGCGTTGAAAGATCTTATAGTTCAAATCTCTAGGCGGAGTTTCCATTACCTCTTTTAGCCTTGCCTCACTGACTGTGATATTTATTGATCATTTAGCAATTAAACTAACAATTTTGGGGACATTTATTAAACTATGGTGCCTACGTCATAAGATTACAGTGTTCACTTTACAAGTCACTTTCCAATATTGATATTGAAGACAAATTTTATTCTGTTTTAAAATAATACAAATTTAGTTTTATACATGCAAGGAGTTTATATACATGTACATTAAAAATTTGTGGCATGCGTATACATTTTATTAAACTGCCTACTAACATACATGATCTAACATTGTGCAACGTTGAATGAAAATAATAATAATAATATTGATTAAACATTTCAAAGTTACAAAAATGAAAATTAAAATTATTTCAAAAGAAAATTTATTGAAGTATCTAATTTAATTGCAAATGTTTTCTGATTTCATCCACGCTACCAGATAAATTGAATGAAAAAGGTAAACATTTTTTGTCTATTTTAACTAAAGCAAGTTTAATTATTAGAAAAGTAAAAAAATCAAATGCTTCGAATATTATTCAAATATGAAATTGATAACTACATAGACTGAAGCTAACATATGAAGAATTAAAAACTAAATAAACAAATAAAACGAGAAAACAGATGTAACAAATAATTCATGCATTTATAAGAATTCAATTACATAAAAATAAGTTTTAGAGATTTATTTTATTATTTCGAAAATTAACAACATAATGAAGGATCTAATGATCGTGTTTCTATATTTAGAAACACTATCAAAAGTATTCTTTCGAATTTTAACAAAAACAGAATTGTAACGGTTTTTTTACTATTCTTTAGAATTGTAACAATGTATGAAAAACAATTTTTGTATAAAAGTAAATTATTATTTTCTTTTGAATGTCTGTAGCTTTCTAGATCAAAAGCAATAATTAAATATTTTTTAAATAGCATTATGTGATTACAGTTAAAAAATTACCTTTATTAGTTGATATAAATTAATGATTGTTGGGCATGTAGATTTGAGAATGGAACAATAGAAAATGTCAGTTACTCGATTCTATTAACCATTTTTCTATGAAAGAACCATTAATATTGACAAAGCAAATTGGTTTTCTTTCGAATAATTGCAAGAGAGTAATTGAACTTAAAAATGAAAGTTTTACCAAATACATCAATTGTACAGATCAAAATTATATGGAAAAATAGTTGTATTCATTTGAAGTTAGTTTATATTTTAATTTTAATTATTTCGATTGCTTTTATCGTTAATATTTATAACTTTCAGTTGAATAAGCACACCATTATAATGGCTAGTTTTAAGTTAATCATACATTAAAGTGATTTAAACATAATGTGATAAAAGGATTTTCTAAATGAATAATATTCTAAACAAAACACTAAACTAGAAAGTCAGAGGTTTTAGTCAATATCTAGAGAAACATATGACTCATTTAGCACACCAATATCTGAGTGAAAGAATTAACTTTATGAATTACTTTAAAGATGAATTTAGTTTCTTTTAATATATATTGTGGCTTGTATATATAGGATCAAAGTATTTGTACCTAAAAGAATGAATAATGAATAATAATTATAAAATTTCATTCAGCATTACCGATATTTAATATCTCCTTTAAAAAAACAAATTTTAAAAAAGAAAAGTTCTGGAATGAATTTATTTCATAAAAGAAAATTGATACTAAAAAGAAAATATGGAATTTTAAAACTGTCCAGATTCATATCAGCAATGAAAAAACCAATTAAGTCATCTCAGTCTTATCTTGTAAAATATTTTAGAATAGTTTTCTTGCTTTTTAATTTAATCGGAATTGAAACACCATTTTTAAATTCTTCTGATGCGCAAACGAATCGCAGGGCTGTTAACAAAAAAAGAATTTTCTTCGTAAGATGTATGAAACGCTTCGTTTTTATAATTCTTTGTGCCAAATTCTTGCTACAAGTACTAAGATTAATAATCGCACAATCCAAGATGGCCGAATTAATTCAACATTCCTTTATATTTCTAATAATGTCACTTTATATGTCAGTAAACAAAAGACATCTGCAAATGCTACAAATGGCAAAGTACATATATCAAATCTCTAAGAAATTAGAAAATCATGAATTCAAAAGGTGGAAAAGCATAATGTTTGTGTATGTTATTTTTACAATATATCTATCCTATGGAATTGTTCTGTTTAGTTTCAGACAAAATAGGATTGAAAAAGTAAAAAATCTGTATTGTAAAATAAGTTTAATGACATCAATTTTCGGAGAAAATAATTCTTATTGTTTCATTATTGCTGAAGTTATCGAATTTCTATTCTTCGTTCTGGTGATATGTGTTCTTTCTTTTTTTACTATTTATTATCACCTTACCTGTATATTTATCCACGATCTTTTTGGAAACCTCCAAGAAAAACTTACCAGTGACTTTTGCACTCAAGATCTGAAAGAATTATCCTCTATTTATGAAAGAATAGAAAAATCAATGGAATGTTTTGATAAATACTTTTCCTTTCCCGCTTTTGCTACATTGCTCTTAATTATGTTTGAATTATTTTGGGCTGGTTACAGAATAACATTTTATCAATATTTGGGTATCAAATATTTTTTCTGGTTAATTTGTTGTGTAACGTTTTTTTTATCTCTTCAACTTTCATTAATGATTTCAGCGTCTGTTACAAATGAAAAAGCACACAAAGTCAGACGCATTGTGTTTAATTTATGTTGCACACATGAAAAACGTATTAAAATAAATGGCCAACGGTATAATGAAGGCAACAGTTTAACTGTGTGGAAGATATATACTTTCGATAGGTCTCTTATAATAGCTAGTATTGGCACTTTATTAACATACGGGATTTTAGTTGGAAGTTTGGGTAGGCAAAATTAAATACAAAAACTATACTACAATAAGAAGGATGAATGGATAAAATAAGAATGGATAAAAATAAAAAAAGAATCAGACATGTTTGAATTATACCTGATCGTGATAGAAATTAACAAAAAATTTAGCAATTTGTAAATCTTTCTTCGGTGAAAAAACAGGAATATATTTATAGTGAAACAGTGTTTGAACTTGTAAAAAAAAAAAAAAGATTGTCCTATGAAAGTGCCCAAGCATTTGGCTAATGATAGAATTTAAAATGCAAGAACAATTAATGAAACATAAAAGAAAACAATTTAAAATTATGAAAACCAAAGTAAAAATATTTTCTGAACATTTTGCAAAAAAATTCAGAACAATTTTCACTATCTATTATGTATTTTTTGTGTGCTTGCGTTGGTAAGCCTTCGGGACAGCTTTTAACATGATGACGAAAGACCTTCTAGCTCAACTCTCTATGCAGAGTATTCATTACATCTTTTAGCATTGACTGACAGACTACAAAATTTAGTGATTATTTCGCAATTAAGCGAACAATTAAGTGCCTACATTAGAAACTTATGGTGTTAACTGTCCTAATAGTGAGGTTCAAGACTAGTATTTTTTTGAAATAATTAAAATTTTATTTTTTATAATAAAAATGAACTGTTTATATGCATGTAGTTATGTAATATTACATTAGAGATTTGTGCCATATATATTTAAAATATGTTATATTAAACTGCCAACTAACATGCATGTCTTAACATTGTAAAACATTAAATGAAAATAATAATAATAATAATATTGAAGAACCATTTCAAAATTACAAAAAATGGAATTTAGAATTGTTTCAAAAGAAAACTTATTGAAGTATCTAATTTAATTGCAATTGTTTACTGATTACATCTTCGTTATCAAATAAATTGAATAAAAAAAGGTAAAAATTCTTTTGTCTAACTTAACTAAGGCACGTTAAATTATTAGAGAAGTAGAAAAAATCAAATGAAGCGAATATTAATCAAATATCAAATTAATGACTACATAGACTAGCTTCAGTCTATAATAATGATCAAACTATGAAGAATCAAAAACTAAATAAACAAAGTATCTAACTTAAACAAATATCTAATTTAATTGGAATTGGTTACTGCATTTATCCTCGCTGCCAGTTAAATTTAATAAAAAAAAAAGGTAAACATTTTTTGTATATCTTAAATAAAAGACGCTACAATATTATATCAGAAGTAGAAAAAGATCAATTATTCAAATATCAAATTAATAACGTCATAGACCGAAGCGAAAATACAAAGTATTAAAAATTAAATAGACAAATATATCAAAATTGTAAATAAAAACAGAAAAGAAAAACATTCAATTCAAGCATTTATATAGCAAGCATTTACATATAAATAAG